AGTTAGTCTTGGGCCCATCCTAAAATGGAGGTAATCAGTTGGCCCAGGTATAAGGCATTCTTGAAAATAAAGTAGGTATAGCTTTGGTTTTTTTGCAGGGGATGGGGGCAAGGATTGAACCCCAGGGGCACTTAACCACGGAGCCCCATCCCTAGCCCTTTTTAGTTTTTATTAGTTGCTTAGACCTCATTAAATTGCTGAGGCTGGCTTTGAACTTACAATCCTCCTGCCTCTGAGTTGCTGGGATTACAGACTTGCACCCCTGTGCCCAGCTAAGTAGATGTAGCTTTTTAAAACAACTCTTTGCATGGGAAAATGTGTTATGGAGTGGTATCAAGAAATCAGAATACTGAAAAAGGAATGTGCCAGTAGCTGGGACCAGATTCAACACTGAAGAATAACTTTACAATGGCCTGCCTCTCTACCAAGAGTACCTTCTCTACCCCTTACTCTGCCATTTGATTGATGAGGAACCCGATCCACAGAGGGGGATGGTGACTTGCTCAGTACTGCACAGCACTGGCAGAGGCTTGAGTAGAAGCAGCAAGTCTCAACAGAAGCACAATAGTAATGACATTCTGTTCTACCCCAAGTTGATGGATACCTGTGTGCAGATTTTCAACTCTGGAGCAAGAAGTGAAACAGGAGTGAGATTGAAATGGGAAGGAAATGAAACTGGATTGCACTGTCCCAGCATGTATTATAGTCCTAGAAATAGGTATAGTTCAAGTACAACAGAAAATACACCATTTTCACCCCTTTCCCCAAAGCCTTATATAATCAGAGCACAAAGAAAGGATTCATTTCCTGCTTGTTGATCTGATTGGGGACTTTGGACATATGCACGCTAGCCAGACCTCCTTGTTGACAGAATTCAGAATGTCCAAGCTTATCTCCGATTTGCTTGCTGACAACTCAGTTACCCAGAAGGTCAAGAGAGTGACTGGGGGCTTTGTTATTCTGTGCCTAATTCTAACCAACAGAGACAGATCACTTCTGGAATTAAAGTTGCCAGGAACACAGAAGAAAGTGGCCATGTCAGTCTCATGTTCAGAGTCAGGAGGACTTCAGCCTAATCAGACACGTGCTCTAGATTATAGAAAAACAGGCTCTGAACAGTGTGGAGTAGAAAGGGTGGTGTGAGTACTGTCTGTGCCTGAAACTCTGGAAGGGAGGATGATTCTAAGGAGCGTTAGCAACTTCCCACAAATAATATGATGAGCAGGAGAGGAAGGAGGATAGCCCATTATAGGTATCCCAGGTTCCCTTCAGTGTGGCTACGTTTTAGAGAACATCCCCACAGTGGGGGAGGTTAGTGTTCACTTTTGTGGGAGGAAATGACTAGAAGGGACCTGAAGGAGACTTTTGAGACGTTGGTTGTGTTGGGTGTTTTGTCCAGGGTGCTGGTCATAGGTGTGGGTTTACTTGGTGGGAAATTTGTCAATCTGTATTTAAGATTAGTATAATTATCTTGTCTATATATATGTTATACTTCAAATTGACAGTGCAGCAATTATTAAGATTTAGTATATTTCCTTCAGAACCTCTTTTTTTAAGTGCTTAGATTTACATATTAGTTGTAATATAAAATAGTACTTTCATTTAGTATTCATTTAGTATTTTCTATTAATATACCATTCCCCGTTATCACAGGGCACAACCCAGCTTCATAATATTCCATTGTGCCAGGCACGGTGGCACATGTCTTTGATCCCAGATATTCAGGAGGCTGAGGCAAAGAGGATCACAAGTTCAAAGCCAGCTTTGGCAACTTAGTGAGATCCTTTCTCAAAATTAAAAAAAAAAAAAATGTGAAAACGGGACTTGGGATATAGCTCAGTGGTAGAGCTCTCTTAGTTCAATCCTCAGTAACATTAAAAAATAATTAAAAAACTATAATAATCCCTTGTATAGATAGACCAAAGTTTCCTTTATCATGCCCCTATGGTTATAGGGGCATATAAGAACAGTAGAACCAACATTTTGGACTAGAAATCCTTTTCTACATTCAAGGTTATTTGCTTGAGAATATGTTGGTGTAGAGAGATTAGATGGAATCTCTTTAAAGTTAAGGTACATGTAATTGACTCTGTATTCAGGGGTGCAGAATATAGAGAGGTGACTTAAGAGGCCTGAGCATCTGTGGATTTGGGTATCTAGGAAGTTCCTGGAACCCGTCCCTCTTGGATACCAAGGATGGCTATATTGACAAATTATTCCAATGGTCTTGACATCATCAAAAATTTGCTCACCACTATATTCAACAATCCTGCCCAGAACTGGCAAGTTTCCTAATATCAGATGCAAAACCTCCTTCTTTTCCACTCAGGTGAAATGGGAGAGTTTTCTGATCATCTGTAACCTCTCCACACCTCTCCGCACCTCTGTGCAGTTTCTTAGAAGTGGTCTCTGTGATGATGCTCCACTGTTTGCAGGCCTTCAGTTCTCTGGGGTTTATTTAGCCAAAGCTGAGAATTGAACAGCAATGGGAGTTGAAGAACCTTGCTCTTTCTTCAAACATGAAAACAAAGTAACTCACTTGCTTACTTTGATCATTGCCTGCAAGTTTTGATCCATTTATGACTTATGCTTTTTGGATATCACACTGAGAAGTTCCACTTTATTTTTCTATTTTCTTTCAGTCATTTTATTTCTATCTTTTATTTTAAAAAAGCTTTTTCTTGAAGTAAAACAGGGTTGATATTTAATATGAACATCTCATACTTCATATGTTTGAACCATAGCTTGTCATATTTTTTTAAGATTTCTGATTTTTCTCTTTTATAACATGAAACAATTACTTGTTTTAAAAGGGTCATTTTCATCATGATTAAAAGGAAGAAAAGAAACAATTGATCCAAAGAACAAGTCGTGCCAACCAACCTAGCCTTCTTTAAGAGTGTTCTTTAAGCTGGGTTAGGGAAATGAAAAAGACAGAGTACCTGCATCTGAAATGAATTTGACCCTCTTCTTAAGATATTATTGTGGAAAAATACAGGGCATAAGCAATTGAGCTATTGAGGAGATATGATTGCATAAGCAATCAGATATTTGGTATCTAGTTTGTTCAAAGATTCTGAAGGTCAACAGGGATGAAGGATTTCAGTATGTGTCACAGAATTCTACCATTGGCATTTTTGAGGTTACTACTTACATTATGGATCTGGATAAAAATTAGAAAAACATTTCCCCAAATTTGTAGGGGATAGAGAATATGATGATAGGCTATCGGAATCGGATCAATGAAAATGGAACTCAATGGTGGTAAATATGATTCTGTACTTGGGTTAGGATGTTGTTGGCTATATTTCTAGAATCCCAGTACAAGTAAGGGAAACCGTGATACAGCAGGCAATCCTATGGTGACAAGACCACTCATCGACTGATGCTCCCTGTTCTAGTCACTGCATGTTGAGAGGGACAAAGTAGAAGATCTCTCAGCATGAGTAGCTAGGATGGTTCAAAAGATGAAACTCTTATGTTATGAGGTTTGCTGAGAAGAACATTAACGAACCTGAGAACCAGCTTTCGGTATCCAGACATGCTTCATGCATAAGGAAGGACTATCTTTCTGTGCAGTAAGAGGAACTGGGATTGAGACCACTGGGAACAATTATGGGACACCATACTTAGGTTTAACAGATGACCATTTCTCACAGTCAGAGGTATAACTAGGTAGAATAGACTCTGATTTGCATGTTACCATTTCTTCTCTACTTCTGGGTACATGGAAGATTCTATCTCCCCACCTCACTGAAATGCAGCACAGCCATGTGACTGGTTCTAACCAGTTAAGCTTGAGTAGAAATGAGAGTGTCACTTCTGTCCCAAAGCATTTGCTTGTCAGAGCTTGATTCTTCAGCACTCTTTCCCCTGAGATCACAATGGAGGCACCAACCTGACCTTGGTTTCTGGGTGATTATAATGATTAGAGAACTCCCCAACCCCAACCTTCAGACCCAAACACACACCTACATCAGACATGTAGTTTGAGTAGAAAAGAAACCTTGCAGTTTCCAGCTATTGAAGTCTGTGGGTTTTGTTACTGCAGCATAACATTTTCTAGCCTGATTAATACAAGTGCCTCCAAGACATAGCGGTTTCTTCTGAGTGGTGGGCAGAATAATAAGCACTGGCTTATTGAGAAATTAATGATTTAAAGCCTTACCAAAAGTTATCAATTTGGATAATTTTTTTGCATTTTTTGCTTTTATTTTCATTGTCACATTGCATTCATACAGCTGTTGGGGTTATAATTTAGTCAACTGGAACTTTCAACTGGCTCCTGGACCTCTTAGGAAATGAATCCCAGTAAACTAAGTTGACTCTCTGCCTGAGCACACTTTTCTGTAACTCCATGGCACAACCAGTAACATCACAGATTTATGGATCCTGTTCATTTGGGGAACAGCCAACAATAACTAGATAGTTCACCCCAAAGAGATTCTATAGCCACACAAACACTCAGGCAATGTTATTTATGACAGCTATGAGGTCCACCAGAGAGCTCAGGGCCAAAGTGACTTTCTGAACATGAACTCTGTAGTTTTATTCTTACAGGTTTCATATAGATGGGGCTCTTTCGAAGTATCCCTTCAAATCTGTGCACTTAGATATACTGTTGCCTATAACAAGGTTTCCCAAGGAGTCCCTGGCTCCAGTTGCTAATTCATGCACCTAAACAAAGAACACCACACACCACAACATGCCCACTAAGTATAGTTAAAGATTTCAGGTTCTGGGAAGTATGTGAAATATAGTTCTGTCTGGGGAAGCAAACAGCACAGCATATGTTCCAAGCCTGAAAGAAAATAAAAAGATGGAATTAAAAGGTGATCCCAATGAGAAAAATATATGAAAAGGACAAATTTTAAATTATAATTAAAAATACATATGCATGCATATGTATATGTACAAATAGATATGTATATTTTTCTTTATATAACAATCTTATATAACCAACAACCAATTAACTGGTGCCTCATTTTTGTTGTTCACAGGAGACCAAAATCAACTGTGTTCGTCTGGCTACAAAAGGTATGTGTGTCCTTGTCTGTCTTTAGCAATGCAAGTGTCTCTCCCTCTAGCCACAAAGGGAAAGTTTAGGCAACATTGCCCCCCCCCCCCAAAGAAAGGAAAGAAGAAAAGTTATTTTCATTGGGTCATTGCACTAGACCATACATCCTAAGTATATTTTAGTAGAATTGTGCCTACAGCAAAAAACTCAAAATATATGTACTGAATAGATGGATGGATGGATGGATGGATGGATGGATGGATGGATGGATAGATGGATGGATGGATGGATGGATCAACAGATGGACTGGTACATTATTCAGTGAAGTGATGAGTATAAATCATCTCAAATATTCTTCTGCTCCACATCTTCATTGTATTTGGGTCTATGTTTATGTGGGTGTTTTACTTTAAGCTTGTCAATTAGCCCCATCTCTTGGGTTTTGTACTGTGTTCAATTGGTATATGGCTTTCAAATATGAGGTGATTAGTGTTGGTGCCTTTAATAATGAGAAAACAAACACTGCATTGTTATGTAGTTGGCATTTTCAACACTTATCCCCAAAAATGAAGACAGCATTGTTCAGGCTCATCACTTTTGTTTTCCTAATTATAATTGAATTGCCTGGCTCCTTCAGTTGGTACATGTTTCTGTTTATTACTCTTTTTAAAAAACAAAATCAATGAATGGTTTGCTATCATTTAACCTATTACAAGGTTGAATGGTTAGAAATCAGGTTTATCTTTTTTCTATGGAATTGATATTTTTAACAGCGGCTCACCCCCACCACCCTACTCACATACCAGAATTGGATTCTGTTCCTTGCATCTACTCACAGCATACAGAGCTTCATAGATTGCTTCCAAGGATAGAATAATTATAAATATAAATAGACATATAATCATAGAAGTAAACAGTAGACAGGGGCAGTGACTCGCATGTCTGCGTCTGTGTATGTGAATGTGTATACACGTATGCACACTTACAGAGGCAAACACGTGGGAGGCAGTGACAGACAGTGGAGAGGAAGAGAGAGAAAATACCACACAGCTCTTTGACACAGCGTGCACCGAGACCCATCACACGTGACTTGTTTAACATTCAAGAAAGTCAACTCAATACGTAAGCACCCAGGGGAAGAGGCAGGAGGATGGGGAAGACAGAAATACTAAGGCTCACTGTGCAAAGAAGTCATCCTGATTTTACATAAGTCACAGTGATGGTCATGGCCCTAACTTCTCTCTCTCTCAGAAACACAGTTATTAGATGGAAAGAGATAAAATACTCTTTGTGAGGCAAGGAGTGTTGATGACCGGCAGAAAAGGTGTCACAAATCACAGGCTTCAGCAGACTTTTCCTCTGAAGAAAACAGATCATGTGGAAGGAAGAACACCATTATTGGGTAGCACCGGGGCTCTCGAGGCAGCTGGGAGTCTGCACCAGGCCTCTAAAAGTGAGGTCAGAAGGGCAGAAACTGAAGCCCTCTTCTCCATGATGATACCTGTCGCACTGAAGCCCTCTTCTCCATGATGATACCTGTCGCTCTCCGGTAGCTTTTGACCTCTAGACAAGGGCGGGGTTGCTGTGACTTCTCTGCTCTCCAGGGGAGTCTAAGGATATCCTCTGTGACCTAGGCCTTCCTAAATGGTATCTTGCTGTGTCATGTTTTCTGACCTGAAAACTGGGAACACGTGACCTGTCAAGCAATACCCTACACGTGAGGATAATGAGAGAATATCTGAAACTGTACTTCCCTGAAAGTTTTAGAACCACCGTCCTCAGAGGCATGGAGGCCCACCATGGTGGCATCTCCAGAGTCACACTGCTCTACTGTGGGGAGTTTCATGCTCATTTAAAGACCTAGAGCAGAAAATCCCTCTACCTCTCTTTAGCACAAGTTTCTCCTCTTGTTTGATCTCCAGGTTTCGGTCTTCCTTCAGTGGAATGTGTGTCAGGCAACGTGTGAGTTTATAGAAGGACACGGTATATAAATGGGTGTGAGTGCCCAGCTGGTCAAACCCAGGCAGGGCACTGAGGGGTCAGAGCACTGGGAACTCCAAGCACCCACATTCTAGTTTCTAGTTCAGGAAGAGTCAACACTTGTGTCCAAGGAAGCGGGGGCTCCCATAGCACTTGGGAATAGGCAGACAGCCAGATAATGCTGAGTGCCAATTTACCATTATTCAGGGAGTTGACCCTCTGAACACTGCATCAGATAAGAAGGATACTCAGGGAATCCAGAGATAAGACAAAGAGAAAGACACTTGTGTTTGGTCAGCGTCTATTCCACGCCAGTCGCTGTGCCTGGAGCAGCAGGGTCGATTGAAGACATATGCCTTTCCCACAAGGAGTTTGAATGAAGGTCCTAAGGCTAGGAATCAATATTTGACCCATCTCACCCGTTTCTGACTATCTGGATTAAATTTCTTCTTGGAAGTCTTGTTGAAAGCAATATTCTTTTTAGCAGTGGAAATATGATACTAGAAGTCCTGCAGATTTGGGCCACATGTGAAGTCCCTGAGATGGGTCATCAGTCTCTTCTACCTCCCTGTCACCATGGTGCCTTTCTCATGGGTCTGCTGGCAGGCATCCAGCCCCTGGAGTGTGATCACATTCCAGTGCTCTGGTCATGAGGCAACTTGCTACTGTCCTATCTTTGACCCTGGACAGTCCTGCCAGTATCTGTGACCAGTTTTGTGGATCTCATATAACCAGAGCGTTTCCACCTGGAACAGGCATAAGAACTTATTCAGGATCGTTCCAACATGACCCCATCCCAGTGCCTCTGATATGAGATCCAAGCCTGGCTCCAGTATGTGGCTCTGACCCTTCCCTTTCTGTAATGTCACTCACTCTTCATTTGGTGCTGCCCAGTTTGGATGGTTGCAAAGCAAGGAACCTGTATTAGCTTCCTGTGGCTACTTTGATAAAACCTATAAATTGGATGACTTAAACAACAAAAATGTACTGTCTCACAGTTCCGGAGGTCAGAAGTCTGAAATCAAGGTGTCCAGAGGATTGGTTCCTTCCGAGGGCTATGAGAAAGAATCTATTCCCTTCATTTCTCTTAGCCGCTGATGATTGGTGGTGATCCTTGGCATTCCTTGGTTTGTATAAGTGTCCTCCAGTTCTCTGCCTTATCTTCACAAGGCATTCTGTCTGTGTTCATGTCTGTGTCCAAATTTACCCTCTTTATAGGGATACCGATCATCTTGGATTAGGGGTCTACCCCACTCCAGTCTACCTCCACTTCCCTTTAGCTTAACTAATTACATCTGTAAAACCTATTACCAAATCAGGTCATATTATAAAGTACCAGGAATTAGGACTTCAACATAAAAATTTAGGAGTGTGGGGAGAAAGGAAGTACAAAATTCAATGCATAATAGGACCTGAGCAGATAGGGGCCATGTCCATGTGGTTCCCAGTGAGTCTTCACAGTGGGATTCCAATAAGGTGTTAAGGGTGTGCAAGGATCAGGAACCACACCCACCAGAAGGGACTCCAGAGGTAGGCTGAGGCTCTGTTTGATTCTTGCTCTTAAAATAAGTTGCTGGAGGCTATCTCAGGCTGGGGAACTGCATGATCCATGGAAGCAGCCCTGAGCTGGGAGCAGACATGGTGGCCCAACACACTGGATGCTGGGTGTGTGGTAGCAGGACCATCCTTAGACCTCATGTAGTGGTGAGATATTAGGTGCTGACACAGTCACAGTCCTGGGCAGGGGAAGGGCCAGGACCCCTGGTAGGCACCAGCACTGCCTGATGAGAAGAACTCTGAGGAGGACAAATTAATCTCACCAATCACTAATTCCTCAATCAGATTTGCCAGAACAGGACATTTCTGGCACAAAGCTGACGCTAAAAAAAAAATACTTGCTGAATGAATAAACCCATTTGGAATCAGCATCTTTCTGCAGCTAGGCTGGGAGACAGAGGGCCTTACTCAATCTCCCTGAAACTTGGCCACAGCGTATCTGCAGTGATCTTCATCTATCCGTTCACAGAACATTTTGAACATACCTTCTGTCACTGATATGCTAAAAACCCACTCTCTGTAGAATAAGAGTCCTGACTTGTCCATCCTTGGGATGCAAATACCTGCACTATATCCATTTTCAAGTCACCAGTGATGGAACAACTGGCTTGCCAAAAACTCCCGAGTGTTTAACAATTGGCTCTAGCCAACTGAGTGAGCTGGCATAAGCCAGTCTCAGTCTGCAAAGGCCTCTACCACCTACTTTGTTACAGGGATGGGATCAAATGGCATAGCATACATTACAGTGTTTTGTCAACAGAAAAGTGTTTGGGGAAAAAAAATGGTTGTCATTATTATTGATGACTGTTATTTCCTTCAGGTTGTAAACTCACCATTGAACATCTTTAAGCTGGGCACCATGACAGGAACTGGGTATTTCCTGGTGAACCTGTCCTCAAGAACGTCCCAGTCTAGTGTGGAAACAGACATGCAGTGAATACTGGTAACAAATAAAGGTGGAGTCATGATGGTGACTGGTGCCTCCAAATAGAAGTGAAATGTTCCTCATGGGAACTGAGGTAGTCATGGTGCCAAAGTCCCAGGAAATAATAACAGCTGTGTGTTCCCAGGCCATTATGTGTGTCCCTGCTCCTCTGAGACTGGTATAATATAGAAGGCTTTGTACCTCCTTGGCCATCACTGCCCTTTCTCAGCTACCATGGGAAACCACTTAGTATCCAAAACAAAGATGGGTTTTGAGAAACCAACTGACTGAGGTTCTAACACTGAGAGGACACAGCCCTGGCTCAAGGCTCACATAAAGAGACTGGTCCCTGTATTTATAGAGGATATATTGGGTGGATCTATATCCCCTTAGGAGGGAATTATTTATTTATGGGGCCAGATCAGAACCTCACATGGAATATCCACCTATGGCACTATGGTGTGGTGGTTTGACATTTGCTGGTAGTAGGGTTAAATCTGGGATTAGGATGGGCTCAGATGAAAAGGCTTGCAAACAGTGTTTCTCACCAATGAAGGA